TTGCTTCTGCAGAGTTTGAAGTGAGTGATGTGCAAGGTGTTGTCAGGAGGGAGGGAGGGTAGAAAGTACCTTCTGAATCAGATTGTGCCCTCCGGCTTTGTGAACTTCCATGGATCCGGGCAGGTGTAACTTGGGATAGGTGTCTGCTTTGGTCTCCCTTCGTGGTCCAAAGCATGCACCTTGGCATGGAGCATGACCAGCGCTGCCGTGTACCCAGATTTGGGTATATCCCAGCCCACCTGGTCTGAGGAGTGTCATAGGTCCTGCCTGGGTGATTTTGTGGATCCCTGCATTTCCAGCCTTAAAGTCCGTGGGCTTTGTGCTGAGCCTTCAGAAACCTGGGAAGTCCTTGTGCAGCGGGGCACAGCTCAGCCGGCTGCAGATCAGCTGGCTCTGTCCCGTGGTCCACGATGGAGAGGAGTTTCTGTCCTTGCATTGCGTCCTGCTCTGTTGATGTGGAGACCCTGCTTCTGTCCACACTGCCCGCAGAGACTGATGGCCCGTTCTTCTGTCCCGCAGACAGATGGTGGCAATGGAGATTTAGACCCTGGCATCCTGCTGAGTGCTCAGACCATCACTTCGGAAACCACCAGCAGCACCACCACCACACAGATCACGAAGGTAACGCCACAGGCACACGATAAAACGATGACAACAACTAAAACAACAACACGACAGACAGATGGGCAGAGTTGAATAATAGGGGAAAAAAGCTTAAGCCCAGTTCTTTTAAAGAAATGTGATTAATACCTGAAACAAAGCGTGAGGTTCCCAGGTTTGCCTGCGTTGAATGGAGACTGGAGATTATGCATTAATTGCAGTGCAGTCTGTGGACACGGGCTCTGACTGTCCTGTGGGACGGCGGGAAAGAACTGTACTGTGAGTCAGAGCTCTTCCCTGGCTCAGTTACAAGAAAATGAATATTTGACAGTTTTTCTCTGAGCAGTGGCAGTTTTCCCCCGTGATTCTGATACCATAGTATGACAGCAGTATTTGGTAACACTATTTTTGATACTGCCTTTACACAGGCAGCCCCAGTGCACATGAATTTCTTTTCGCCTCTAGACTAACAGTTGTTTCTTCCTTTTGTACTAGACTGTGAAAGGTGGCATTTCAGAGACGCGGATTGAAAAAAGGATTGTCATCACAGGAGATGCAGACGTAGACCACGACCAGGTAGGAGCTTGGATGCGGTCCAAAAGAGCTTCTCAGAGCTGGCACGAACTAGACAGGCTGCCTTTCCAAAGACAACCAGAAAACAACCTAGGGAAATTTTACTGGGGTAGGAATAAAACTTCAAAACTGATTTCAATAATAAATTCCTCTTTGACAGGAGGAGTACCTGCGCCAGCAAAGCTTAATTCTGCTCTGAAACCGGTGTTGGCAGCAAAGTTTTGATTCCAGAATTGGTTTGGACAAATGCAATTTTTAAAAAAAAAATCCACAAAAACGTGAAATAAAAGTTTTCCTTGACATCTGAATGATCTGCATTAATTTTCTAGTAACTTTGAAATGCTTTTGCTGCTGTGCCAGAAGTCATTTCATAGCACTCGGCACCTGCATTAAATCTCATCGGCTTTATATGAAACCTTGCTGATGAGTCAGCCTCATTGGCCTCTAGCGTGTGTTGGAAGTGATGATTTTGTCATCAGAGAATTATACTTTGAATTTAATTTTAGCTGCAAGTATCATGGGGCTGGAGAACATTTGTACGACAAGAACTAGTTTATTAATTCCAAAAGAAACTGTCTGAGAAGATGTCTGAAATGCATCATCACACTTACTGGAAGAATAAACAGGGTTTGCTTAATTTTGCTCTCATCCATCTTCTACCATGGGGCAGTGGAGAGATGTAGCGTATTCTTAGAAAACAGCTTTTCCTTTCAGAAATAATCTAATACTACCCAAAGTCACCAAACTGTGCAGCTGAAGTGGAATCACTTTTCTTTTTCTCTCCCCAGAATTAGAAACGGTCTCTTGTCCCCGAGGAGCCTTGGTGGCTTGCTCTGAAACGTGCTCTCTTTCAGGTTCTAGCGCAGGCGATAAAGGCAGCAAAGGAACAGCACCCAGACATGTCGGTGACCAAAGTGGTTGTGCACCAGGAGACCGAGATCGCGGAGGAGTAGCGGCTGCGTAAGTAGGGAGACCACGTACAAGGAGCCACGAGTGCCGCTTTCCCTGCCCAGGGCAGGGGGCTTGATCTCCGTGCAAGCGAGGTTTGGCTAAATATGGTCAAAAGTTTAAGTAAAATTATTATTGTTAGCTGATGAGTCTCGCTCAGGCTGTTCCTATTAAATCATTTACGGCTGATGAAGCAGTCACAAATACAGACTAATCCTGCAGTGGAAATGAGCCAGAAAAGTCTAAAAGAAGCTACAAGGCTCCTGTGCCGGGGCTGCTCTGCCTTAGCAGACACCGTCGGGGCACCAGCAGCACACCGAGCTGCAGGTTTCGTGCGGGCCCCTGCCTGTGTCAGTGCCAGGTAGCCCCTGAGCTGGACCCCAAGCTCCTGACTTGCCTGGGAAGATCCCTTTTCTGCAGCCTTGATGGCTTTGGGAAAGAGCTGCTCGAGGAATCCAAGAGCTCTGCCTGTGCACGAGTGCTGTAAAGCCCGTCCTGCCCCAGCCGGTGATGGTGGTGGTGCCCAAGGCGGTGCCGTGCGCTGCGCTGCCTGTCCTGCTTCGTCCCAACAAAGCTGGTACTTGCAGAGGTTTGGGAGGTGGAACAAGGTGAGAGGAGAGACAGCATGGTTTAACAGACGTTGTGGTTGAGCTTTTTAACTGTCCGAACCTAAATAAAAATGGCAGAGCTCTCCTAAGGCTTCCTGGGCTTGCAGCTCTTAAAATTTGGTCCTTCAGGGATGGGAGCAGGACGTTGTTTGTGCCAGGCGCCTGGGAGTGGCTTTGAGCCTGAATTCACCCCTGCCACTGATGGCAGCTCACCTTCTGATTTCAGTTCTCCAGCAGCTTCAGGGAAGCAGGTTCCTTTCTTTCCCAGAAAGCCGGCTGTTGGTAGCTATAACTTGCCATGTTTCTCTCTTTCTAGGAAGCGTTCCTGCCAGACACAACACCAGGAAAAAGAAACCCAGCAAAACTACCAAGAAACTACCTGGAGCACAAAGACCTCGGATTTACAAGACTTGACACTCAGAGACATTCATATCATTTATTAGGAGTTGCGCTTTGACATTTTACTTGGGATTTTCCAGACTCCGCTGGATCCTACTGGATATAGATTTTTTTTTTTATATATATATATATTGACAAAAGTATGCCATATTTCTAACTGTACTGAATATTTTTTACAGGTTTTCAATTTTGCATTCCCTCTCACGCATAGCCTCTTCGGATACAGACGCAGACACACCTCGCAGGGCTCAAAGGGTCGCGCTTTTAAGTCGTATTCCCTCCGCCTCGTCAGGGATAACGGAGATAAGCCACATCCGTGCATATTCCGAGTGCGGGATCCGTATGCGCCTTTAAAAAGCCATGGGTCCTTCTGCCAGGAGAGTCAGTTTAAAAAGTCAGACTTCAGTTTTGTGCAGCATTTCTGATTGCCTCTTGATTTTTTTAGCTCTAGGGAGCTTGAGACTCCAGCCGCGATACCTGGGCGTGCAGAGCAGAGCTGCCGCCTTCGCTCCGAGTTTCCTCCCCGTTGGGTTTCAGGCCCCCGATGTGTGAACACAGTAGGGTTTTGTGGTGTAGCTTATGCACACATCTTAATAGCTGACTAGATTTAAGGAATACTGGAAGTTGCTTCAAGTATCTTATACTGTGAATTTTAGAGCTTTAAGAGGACTGTGATAGCACCTCGCCTTCCTCCTGTGTGTCTCTGCCGAGTGCTACCTACCTGTTTGTGTTTTCTAGATGCCATTAAATTAAAAAGCCCTTAGAAGTGTGCGTTTAAGGTGTTTGGACTCTGAATGCTATAAAGGTAGGCTTACGCAGCATTCACAGTAACTGATTTTTTTCAGTGTCATAGTTTTTCACTTGTTTGTGTTCATGATTTTTAAATTAGGGGGTTTTTTTTGTAAGTCATGGGTTGGTTTTTTCCCCTCCCCTCCCAGTGCTATTTAAAGCTAAACACGTTACCCATATACCGGGGCATATATCCTACTATCATTTAATTTAAAAACCTTTAGACAATCCTTCCTAGGCCTGTAAGCTGTACTTGGAGAGGCTGAACAAGAAATCTTAGGAGGTGTCAAGTGTTGCTGGTCGTGATAGAGCCAAACCACATGGCAAGTGCTGCCACCCCCTCTTCCACGCTGGCTTAAGGGTCTGTGCTTCATAACTGCCTTGCTGGAGTGAAATACCAGGGTTAGTGGCTGCATCTTCAGGCTGAGCTTACAGACCACCGGGGCCACCGCCAGCTAGGTGGGCATGGCCAGAAAACAGCTTTTCTGGGGCTGGCTGCGCTTCCCTCCATGGCACCTGGGGCCGAGCTGCTGCTGCCGCCTTCTGAGCTTCATGGAAATGTTTTAATCGTGCCCTGGTTTCTCTTTCCAGCATTTAAATTTAAAAAGAAAAACAAGCCTTGTAAAGAGTCTGCACAGACACTTGTGAACACTTTAGTACACTTTGAGGTTGTGATTTCGTTTTTTATATATATATAGTGTGGCACCTTGGTAGCTGAGGGCATGGAGTGCTCTCTGCTGCTCCTCGGTTGAGGATGGGAAGAAAATGGCAATGAAAAAAACCTCTCTGCTATTTTAAATTTGAATAATGTGTTTCAGAAGTCACTGGATTTAGCTCAGGCTGCAACGACTTGCTGTTTAGCTGCAAACAGCCTTCGAACTACACTGGGGCTAGTCTCGGATTCAGGTGCAATTTTAATTAAGCTGTCAGTATTGATTGGAGACTATGCCGAAAATGCTGGAGCTGCTGGATTTTTGCTTTCTTTGAGCCTTGCTGGCCGTGGGTCCTTCTCAGCCTCCAGCCCTCCCATGCCGGTAGCTGCTGCTCGGGCTACTCTGGGTGCGTGGTCCCCTTCGGTGATGCTCTGCCTTCCACCGGGTACCGGGCATCCTACTCTGGGGATTTAGGGAGTCCTGGGCTCCACAGCTGTAGTGCAGAGATGAAGTCTTCCTATTTATGTCTGAAAAGCCTCTTCCTTCCTTATTCAGCAGCACAGACCCTGTAACAGGTCTGTGGCCCTGCTGTCCTCAGCTTAGTTGGGTAACGCTTGCCTTAAAAGCCCATCGTGCTGAGCAGCCCTCTGGCACTGTCCCTTTTCTAGGAATTTAGCTTTTTGCCACTCGGTCCTTCCTTCTCACCCTGGAGCAGCTACCTGAGGAGTAAACGGGCATGCTGAGTAGTCATTAAGAGGATTTCTGAGCTTTCCCAGACAAAGCCAGTGTGATAAATTAAGTTTGTCCATAGCACTTAAAGGCACTTGGCCATCACGAGGACTTAGGGAAACGCGGTGCGCGGCTGAAGCTTGGCCCTGGGTGTTCCGCTGGGGCGTTCTGTGCCCTGAGCAGGGGATTTCTAGGCTGAGAAACCTGCTGGCACGAGAGGTGCTGCCTTTCCAAAAGGACGTGCTCCCTGTGGCTGCGTGCATCCCTTTTTAAGGGCCCTTAGACTAGAAAAACCCTCTTTTATTTCTTGTTTCCCCTGGATTTTGGGTGGCTGTTTCCAGGCTGTTCATTCTCACACTTCCCCCTCCTAAGTTCTTGCTTCTCCTTGAAGTATTTTAAACAAATTATCGCCTCGTCTGACCTTTGCCATCACCCTGCTGTCTGACCCCACCGGGGATTTCCAGCCCTGCTGACCCTCTCCAGCCGACACGGCCGCCTCCGTGCAGCACCCGAGCCCTGGAGCTGGACAGGAGCAGCGGCAGCCTGGGAAGAAGATAAAAGTTACGAGAGAAGAAGGTTTTTGCATCCTCACCCGGGGCTGCCCACACCCCTTCCACCTCCAACAGGTTTTTAAAATCCTTGGCTCTTAGCGTGCGGTGTTATTTCTAGGGACAAACCAGCTAAGTAAGGTCTATTTATATGAATGTTCCCAGCTCTTCCCACTTCACAAATTCACCCAGAGACTGTCTTGATTGTATAATATACATTATATGGAAGCTATTTATATATGAATGAATGTTTTTATAGAAAGGAAGGCAAGGAGCTCATGTTCTCCTCCATTAAGCTGGAATGGCAGCTCCAGTTGCCAAATAGCAATCTCTGACCAACACGGATGTATTAGCGAAGGACTGACTGATTTCTGGTTTTAATAAACTGTGGTTTGCTGATTTTTTTTCCTAATTGTACAATTACCTTAAGAGGTGGTAGTGTCCCAGCCTTAGAGATGAAACTTGTAAAAAAAAAAAAAAAAAAAAAAAATTTAGTTGAGAATATGAAGGAGCTTTGTAAAATTTTTTTAAGGCAATTGTGAATTGTCTAGGCTAGCCATTTACACTCTTCGTTATAAAAATAAATAGGAACTTTTAAAATTGGCAAGTCTTTATAGATCACCTAGTGCCGGGAGCTGTTATTTTGGACTTTCATAGTAAATCAAAGGGAAAGTTGCCGTAGCATTTAGACAGACGTAAGTGTTCAGTATTGCTTCTTGTATTGCATTTTTCAATAAATTTTCAAACAAAACTGTCTCCCTGGCCCTGAAGCCTCTGTTCTTACCCTCACCCTCCTCCCGGTCTCTCTCCCCAGCCTGGCTTCGTGGCAATTTGCTTTTTCGCACCCCAGGCGCGTCCCCGGCAGAGCCGCCGTGTGCTGCGACCGCTGGAGCTCTCCCCAGCCCCGCGCCGGGCTCCGCCGCCGGCTGCGTTTTCCTGCGCTCTCGGTGCCTTCAGACGCTTTAAAC